TACATATTCAAGGTTATTCTAATACACATTTAGTGATGTTGAACAATAGCTTAAAAATTTTTGAATTAGCATGGCAAATTTGAATAAATGTGCTTGAAAATTATGACAAGTTCAGCCACATGAAGATCAATGGTCACCTTTCTACATCAAAACCACCTTGTGCATTTTTAAAAATCCCTGATGACTCTTTTTTTTGGAAGATTCTTAAAAGTCAATAAAATTGTTGGAAAATGCACATAATACATTCCTTTGAGATGGTTTGGACAAACTAGAAAGAATTACTTGATGATAATTCTAAGGCAAGTTAACCATGCATATGCAAATTTGTATCGATTCTCCAAGTTATCATGCATCTGCAATGTCAGCTCATGAAATTGTCCATGCAAAATTCTATAAAATAAAATTAATATTGTACTTTTCTCCTTATCTGATAGAATCCCTTCCTTTGCTTTGTAGTGCTTATGAATCCTTGAGTAATCATAGAATTGAAATAGAAATGAATGAAATGATTTTGGAATGGCTTTGTTTGTGAAATGTTAGTTTGGTGGTCTTCTACTATGGAGAGCTTGGTGGATCTTCTATAAAGAATAAAAATTCTTATTAAAGCTATATTCAAGCTTCCACACTTGAGCACCATATTGTTACTCTCTCTCCACCACCACACTCTCTATTTGCTAAATTCACTTTTCCTTGCTACTTTGCTCCCTCTTCCCTGACTCCATGGATCACATTTCACAAAGATGCTCAAGTATAAAAATGCATAGATACTGTTAGGTATGGCTCATATACCAGGAATTTGGAATCTCTTGGATTTGGAGAGGTGTGTCTCCTGGAATGAAGAGATGTGTCTTTTGGTGTGAAGAGGTGTATCTCTTAAATTAGTGAGTTGGGGGGAGCGATGACGTGTTTGTAAATTTATCTGTGGGTTTTATCTATAAATAGATATATAACGCTATGGGTATGTAATTCCTCTGAAATAGTGAATTCGCTGAAATAGTGAATTCGTCGCTTTACTCCTGAGGATGTAGGCATCTTTGCCGAACCTCGTTAAATCTCTGTGTTCTTCTTCTGGTTTTGTGTTGATTCTTGCGTTGTTTCGCCCTAAATTTCATAACAATTGGTATTAGAGTCAGGTTAGTTGTGACAGGTTGTGCTAAGCCAGAGGAGTTTGTCGCAGGAGTTGCGGCAGGTGCAGTTGCAAATTTTTCACACGAAGCACATTTCCTGTTGGCATAAAAATTCGGCCGAAATACTGTGAATACTAACCGAACCCCACCTGTCACAATTTCTCCTGCGATAAACCTGCGAACAATCCACGAAATTCGCGAACTCCACCTGTCACAATTTCTCCTGTGACAAACTTGCGAACTCCGTTGGCCGAGCATCACCTGTCGCAACTACACCTGCCGCAACTCCTGCGATAAACTTGCGAACTCCTTTGGCTTAACACAATCTGTCGCAACTGCACCTGCTGCAACTCCTGCGATAAACTGTGAATTATCTGAAGAAGTCTGAAGTGGGAAATAGGTAAAATTTTCAGTAAAATTTTCTCACCTTTAGATTTTTTGTTGTCTTTCTTATATTCTCATTAGTCTTGATGCCCGTAATAAACTTGAGGCTGAGTCAAGGAAGTGTTATTTCATTGACTATGGAGATGAGACATTTGGATATCGTTTCTAGGATGATCAAGGTCAGAAGATCATAAAAAGCAGGAACGAGATTTTCAATGAGAATGTTATGTACAAGGACAAGAAGGACAAGTCCAGTACAGTACAAGTCCAGTACAGTTTCTAAAACAACACTGAAGGAATCTGAGTTGGTAAGATTTGATGATTTACCAGAGGTCACAGTATACAACAGAGATGCCGGTGATGAGGAAAGTGGATCTGAGGCATCCACTCCTATTGTTCCACAGTCAGTTTAAGACCAGTCTATCCTTATGGTTGCAGTTCGCAGTTCAGAAAGGGCTAGACGTTCTCCACACCGTTATTCTCCAACTTTGAACTACATTCTGCTGGCAGTTCATAGTTATGTTGATGACTGGATACTGGATTCAAGAGCTTCTTTCCATACAACTTTCCATCGGGAATTGATGCGGAATTATGTTGCATGTGACTTTGGGAAAGTATATCTGGCAGATGAAGAAGCTCTGAACATGGTAGAAATGAGAGATATTGATATTGCACTTTCAGAAGCTCTGAACGTGGTAGAAATGAGAGATATTGATATTGCACTTTTAAACAAGAATAAGTGGACTCTGCAAAAGGTCAGACACATTCCTGAACTGAAGAATCTCATTTCTGTTGGACAGCTTGATGAGTGTGGACATTCAGTAGTGTTCTCAGATAGCACCTGAAAGGTTACTGAAGGAGCATGATGGTAGTAAGAGATACAAAGCTAGACTTGTTGTAAAGGGTTTTCAGCAGAAACACGGTATTGATTATACCTAAGAGATACAAAGCTAGACTTGTTGTAAAGGGTTTTCAGCAGAAATACGGTATTGATTATACTGAGATTTTCTCCTGTGGTGAAGCTTACAACCATCAGAATGGTACTGTCTATGGTGGCTACTGAAGATCTCTTTCTTGAGCAGTTAGATGTGAAGACAACTCTGATACCAATTGTTTTGAAATTTAGGGCGAAACAACGCAAGAATCGACACAAAACCAGAAGAAGAACACAAATTTATACATCCTCAGGAGCAGAGCGTCGAATTCACTACCTACATCCTCAGGAGCAGAGCGTGAGTTGCGGCCTGTGCAGTTGCAGCGGAGTTCGCAGCTTTGTCGCAGGAGTTGAGGCATGTGCAGTCGCAGCGGAGTTTGCAAGTTTGTCGCAGGAGTTGCGACAGGTGCAGTTGCAGCAACGAATTGTGCTAAGCTAGAGGAGTTTGCAAGTTTGTCGCAGGAGTTGCGACAGATGCAGTTGCGGTAGGTTTTGCTAAGCCAGAGGAGTTCACAAGCTTATCATAGGAGTTGCGGCAGGTGCAGTTGCAACAGGTTGTGCTAAGCTAGAGGAGTTCACAAGTTTGTGGAAGGAGGAGTTGCGGCAGGTGCAATTGCGACAGAAGGTGTTTGGCCAGCGGAGTTCGCAAGTTTCGTGAATTGTTTGCGTTATCGTAGGAGAAATTGCGACAAGTGGAGTTCATAAATTTCGTGGATTGTTCGCAGGTTTGTCACAAGAGAAATTGTGACAGGGGGAGTTTGGCTGGAGTCCGCAGTATTTCAGCCGAATTTTTGTGCCAACAGGAAATATACTTCGTGTGAAAGATTTGATTCACGAATCAAAGAAAACTGCAGGAAAATTGCTGCAATTGACAAAGAAAATTTCAGGATTTTTTGAATTTATTTGTGGTTTGTTTTTAATTCAATAAAAAACAAGAAAAATTTACTGCATGATTAATTTCAAATGACAATGTCTGGTGCAAAATTCGAGATAATGAAGTTCGATGGAACCGAAAACTTCGAATTGTTGGCACAACAAGGAATTTTGAAGACAATACGAGCTATGAAACCTGATGGTAATATCTATAAACTATTGGGGAGTACAGTTGTAGGTGAAGTTCAATCTGTCGGATCATATGATAAAAATGAAGCAGGAAAGTTAACCAAGTCAGGTATTTTCAACAAGTTCTTGCGTTACTTGAACTTGTTGAATGTTTGTAGTTGCTAGTTGACATGGTTGCCCAACTCACTTTGGTGTAAGAAACTCCATGATATTTTTCTTTTAAGGGGTTGGATATTCGCAAGGTGAAAATTTTCTCCTAAGGGGCTGGATATTCGTCAAGGTGGAGAATTGTTAGGTATGGCTCATATACCAGGAATTTGGAGTCTCTTGGATTTGGAGAGATGTGTCTCCTAGAATGAAGAGGTGTGTCTCTTGGTGTGAAGAGGTGTGTCACTTGAATTAGTGGGTTGGGGGGAGCGATGACATGTTTGTAAATTTATCTGTAAGTTTTATCTATAAATAAATGTGTAACTCTATGGGTATGTAACTCCTCTGAAATAGTGAATTCGACGCTCTGCTCCTGAGGATGTAGGCATCTTTGCCTTTCTTCTGGTTTTGTGTCGATTCTTGCGTTGTTTCGCCCTAAATTTCATAACAGGTTCAGATATGGATGTGAAGATATGTACACCAATGAAAACTCCTTTCCAGGCCCACATGCATACTTTTGAATCTTTTTTTTTATTTTGAATAAACATGGTACGGCTAATTTATATTGAGAAAACTGACCGAGAATTTGGCCTAATCTTCCGGAGTTGAGCAATTGGGATGATCGTTGAGTATGTGAAGCTATATCATATATTATGATGAAGTTTTATGTTGCAGTTGTTTGCTTGACAGTTATTTCTCATATGTTTTTCATCCTTTTCAGTAAAATGTCACGCACTTTCTGCTTTTGAGGTTTGAATTATAAGAGTGGTGAATTCTTTTAGGATTTAAACTTTGGATGCATATTTATTAATGTGTTGTTTTTTCAAAGTATTTATGCCTGAGAAAACTTGCAGATGTGGCACATCTATTAACTTCATGGCAATTTTCAATCATTTGATGAGGAAAGTCAAGCATTTGCCCATAATATAAAACAGTTTTTGTAGGAGTCTCGATGTTATTTTTATACTTCTAAAAATAAAAGCACCAAGAAAAAGTATTTGATAAGCGAGTGTGTACAAAGAAGTTGCCGGTTCTCTTCTTTGCTTTTTTCAGCGCTTTTTACTTCATTAAAAAAATTTAGGTGGTCAGTCCATTCATTTTCATTAAAAGCCTGACCCGAGCTATTTCTTTTTAGGGCCATTTCCATACACACAACCCAATTCCTATGTATTTACAATTTTACATATCTAACACCCAAACTTTGTTTTTTAAATTTATACCAGCAAAATCTTTCATTTCACATCAAAGTACTACTCTTATAACTTTTAAAAAGTGAAATACATCATCGTAGGTGTCAATCAAGCTATTGCTTGTTCTTATTTTCTGTGATTGTTTTTTCTCTACAGGTTTGCACGCGCTGGTTCAGTTGTTCTGGCCATTCATGATGCAAGTGACATATTTTTGGAGATTGGAAAGATGTCAAAATACGGTGGCTACGAACAACTTGCAGGCTTCTCATTTCTTCTCTTTGCTTCTTCATGGATTATTCTTCGTCTGATATATTATCCTTTCTGGATCCTTAGAAGCACAAGGTGAATACAAGCAACCAGACAGATTTTAAATTTCTTTCCCTTCCGTTTATTTTTTGAGTGCATTCGTATTGACAAACAAGTCATTACTAATCTCAATCCATCAGTGATTTTGAGCGTAAATAAAAATTTGAGGTTGAGGGTTGATTTTAGGTTGATAACGCTCACAAAACATAAGCTACATTTAATGAAATGAGACTTTTCATATGTAAAAAATGAACTTTCTAAGCTGGTTTTGGCCTGTCAACCAGAGTTGTTCATGAAAGCTATAAAACTTAAATAATGAATAAAACTGATTGTATTTGATAAGATTCTCGTTTTGCAGTATCTGATTGGTTTGATTTGTTCTTAACCTGGATTTGAGGAAATGAGAAGGAACAAAATTGAGTTGAAATTGTATCAATCAGCTACATTAGATGGATCATACCTACCTGACCCTTATGATACCGGACTAGATATACTAGATTAGTCCTATCAATGCAGATAACCTGAAAGTTGCTGTATGCTTTGACAGATGTTCGCAGCCAAAATTCAAACAATTATTTATAAAGAATACAAAATTACACAAATAGTTCAGTGTGGGAAAAGTTTAACACCTAAGTAAGAAATTTCCTAAATGATGCATTTTTTACAGAAATAACCAACAAGCTACCTACATAACTTTAAAATGTGGTGGCATGATATGTCGTGCATCTATCAAAAGTGAAAACTCCTGTTGGATCTTACAACTGCCCATATATAAAAAACAAAGGCATCCGCAAGAGGGCTGAAGGTCTTACCAAAAGATCAGGGAGAATGCAGCTAATGGAAAATAAGGCATCCTTGAAACACGGCATCATAAGATCAATGAAGCTGAGCACCGGCATTAAAAGTGATCTTCTTTATGAAATGCTTTCCTAAAGTATTTAGACATATGGTTGTAATCATCAAAAGCCTCCAAATCTTCATTAAGCAAGCTTGCCGTCTACAAAGATGGGAGGCAAACATAACTTTTATTCCAAGACTGTAGATTAGGATTTTGATACTTACATAACGTAGGAAGTAGGAACTTCTAGGGCTTTGATACTTGAGAGAACTACCATGATTCTCTCCTTAAAATCTGAAATTGAAATGGGGCTAAACTAAATCCTGTCGTACACATCAGCCCTTACACTTTCTTTTTTCCTAGACAACTTGAAATGCCCTAAAATGCATAGAAATGTATGGTCATAATGCTTAATCTGCCAATTTCCACAAAAGATATCAATAATGATGACTACCTTGGTACAAGGCCAATCGACTAAAGAAAAATGGCACCTTGCGTCACCATTGCTCTTATAATTGGTACTTTCAAAAAATCATACTGTAAAACTGTTGCAAGTGAACTGGACCAAAACGAAAGATTGCTCTATGATATCCTTTATCTAAATTAAATCTTGAAGCCAATCAAATGGGCTTGTGTCGGCCAGTTTCATCTTTGACCTAGTTTGTTTTATTTTGCAATTTAATAATTTAGTTAATTTCATTTTAATTCCAGATAGTACATGGAAAAAAACTGAACACACTTGAAGCAAGCTTGTTGATGATATCGGAGGTAACCCAAATCACAACTAGAAAAATAAATAATATTACTAAAGTAAATAGGAGGTTATAACCAGCACACTTGAAAGGAAAATACAACAAAAGTACAAATAAACATAACTAATGTGTATCCCAAGAGTGGTGGTGGTGGTCGGCTAGGTTTGGAAGGTTTCGCCGGGGTGGAAAAGACGGTTGGCAAGCAGAAAACAGCAAGGCTGCTGTTTCCCCGGTGCCGTACAAAAAACAAATAGTAGGGAGGGATGTAGGAGGGCTGTCCGGGGTAATGACAGCAAGGATGGAGGGCTGAATTGGTGGTGGCAGCAAAAAGGAGGGGCTGGACAATTGTGAATTAGTTGTGAAGGGCAGGCTCTTAGGTTGCAGCAAAAAGGAAGGAGGATGGCGGCGGCGAAGGTTGGAGTTGCAGCAAGCTGGAATGAGGGAAACTACTGGTCGGGCTGCTGGAACAGCCGGGACCAGCTGTTTGGGGTGGGGGAATGATGGCGGTAGCGGCAGAGAATGCATGGAACTACGGGACAGGAAAGGGAGGGCTGTCTCTAGCTGCGTTAGCATGCGTGGGGGGTGGTTTTGTGGGTGATGGTTGGACAGAGTTGGAATGAGTGACAGCGAGGTGGTAGGAGAGGATAGGAATAGGTGGAGGAGGTGGTGGCTGGCAACTGGAGTTGTAGGAACACTGCATGAGTGTTATCCGGTGGTTCTGGTAGCAAGGAATGGCAGTAGTTACATCGAAGGAAGGGTAGCGAAGGATGGGAAAATTAAGGAAAAATACTTTTTCGGGAACGAACAACAATTAGAGCACCGCTCAATCCTTGGAAGATCACCATCTCAAACGAGCTACAATTGGAGCAACATCCGCTTTTGGATGCAACCCTAGAAAGGAAAAATTGGGACGCTGACGGCTATCTAGAATAGAAACACGACAAAAGCTCAAAACCTAAACACGGGAATCAAATATATAAGCCCTAGATAATTAGGATGAGCTCACTTGCTGAATGGAGGTGCCCAATCCAAAGGAGGGAGTCGGTCGTCTCTCTTTCTTGCTTGGACTGGTTAGCCTAGGCGTTGTAATCACGAGGACCCCGCGCACGTGCGACTCGTGCCCGAAGCGGGAGAAACTCTCGTGTCCTGAGTCAATCGCTTCCGGGTCAGTTGAGCTGAAATTTTCTTGCCTAAGAATTTGAACTTTTATAATCTTTTTTTTTTAATTGAGAGAAAACTCATACAGATTTAAGCAAATTTAAAACATAGATATTATAAATTGATAATTGATAATTGATAATTATGCCATATGATCTAAACTATTTTCTGCTCAATTACTCTCAATTTATGGGAATAAAAGTAATGCAGCTAATAGTACGCTGATTAATAAGAAAGAAATATATGAGGATACAGGTTAACACAACTTATCTACATATCTAATAACTAAACTTTCATATTTACATGCACAACACTTGAATCTTTAATTTCACATCAACAATGCCACAATTACCAACTCCTTAAAAGTAAAATACACATTTTCATGCACAAGTATATGAAACTGGAGTGTTACAAGTGTAAATACCAAACTTTAGTTAGAAATGTAAATACATAAGAATTGTGGTATGTATGCGAATTTCCAAAAAATGAAAAAGAAACTCTAGTTTCATGATGATTGGAGTAGTATGGATTCCATGTATAAAGTTGATCGTTATCATATCAAATGTTCAAAATAACCTTGGTAGTCTCAACATGGAATTTTATAACTCCGATATTCTCCATGGAGGCAGTGTAGACGAAATTTTTAACTATTGATATGTAAATTTTGGTGATGAGCATTTTTGTTTGTAGATGGTTCGTTGGTATGAGTTCACATAGGACTAACATGATCTAGAAAGAAGACAAAATGACGCTGATGTGGCTGCAGATGTTGGCCAATTCATGTGCAACTAACAAGATCAGGCTCGACAATTGTTACCAAAACTGTAGGGTATGCAGAACTTAATAAAATATTTAGCGTAGAGAACTGGATCGGGAAGACATTTTAGATTATTACTCTAGATAATACAATCATCTGAATGGCATTATTTTCTTGATCCAAGCATTCCTTGGCATACTAGTGTTATATATCTATATCAGTATATATATATATTCCTGAAATAATGGATGTCACATTAGTTATCCAAAGATTATATGAATAGCCTTGTGTTTTTATTTGCTATGATGCCCAACCCAAATCCTTAAAAAAAGTAAAATAACGAGTTGACAACTATCATTATTATGTTGACAAAGATTTAGCATTTTAATCATGATTAGAATAATGCTAATATAGACTGATATTTTTTTATGGTTATGCCTTGGGCAACAATAGTATTTCCTTCTTCTAATTCTATATATCTCTTGCCTTTGTGCCTTGCTCTGCAGTTATGAAGTTGTATTAACGTTGGACAAGGAGAAACATAAATTCGAAGGTCCAATATACTACTACGTGTTCAACACCCTATTGTTTTCATTACTTGTACTTCATATTTTCTGGTGGGTTTTAATCTACCGAATGCTTGTAAAACAAATCCACTTGAGAGGCCACATTACTGACGATGTTCGATCCGGTAAGCTCAACTCTCTTAGAAATTATTGTATCTGTTCCCTGAGGAAGCCACCAATCACATAGCTTTTTTCCTTCGGATACTTATATAAACCTCAAGCATTTTTTTTAATCTGTTTTGCAGATTCTGAAATTGAAGATGAACATGAAGATTGAGTTAATGGCATGATCATTTAGTTTTGGATCACCATTTTTTTGTTTTTGATGATTCATCTCCCAGTGGTGGAAGCAAGTTAAGCATCCTTCTTTTTGTTTCAGAAACTTACAACCAGGCTTCCACAACCACAAACTCAAATGTTTTGTATCGTTTAATTGTGAGTACTTGCCATCTGAGGATAGGTCAAGGTTTTTGTACATCAGATTTAGAGTTTTTATTCAGATGGTGGTAGGCTTGAAGGGAGTGTGTGCATTCAACTTTGAAAAATTGATTCTATCTTTCCACTCCAGAATATACGTTCTTTTGCTAGCTGAATTTTGGTTATTATTCAAGTATAGCTTAGAATAGCTTAGAACATCTAATTTATGTTCAGCTGATTAACTTTTGAGGCTTAGTGATATTGTTGTTGTTTCCATTTCTGTTATAGATTTAATTTATCTCCTGTTCTTTGTTGTATGTTTGATTTCAAATTGTGTAGAATATTTTTTGGAAGATTTACATACATGCCATGCAATGTCAATGTATTTATGCATCTAACACCCAAACATTTATGTTTAAATTAATTCCACATATGCATGAAAAATGTGTATTTCAGTTTAAAAGTGGTGATAGAGGTATTTTGTATGTGATAGGAAAGATGAGTTTTACAAATATGCAAATCAGAGTTTAGGCGTTAGACATGTAAATTCATAAGAATTGTTTGGTATTCATGTAAATGCCTCTTTTTTATGGAAGATATTATACATGATATATGATTTACATCACTTTATGTCAATGAATGTTTTTTATTTTAGTGCTTGGTGACAACTAATTTATTTTTTATTTTCTTACCCCGATATTCTTATGATGCAAGTGGGATTTGAATTCATGGTTTTGATAGTAATTTGCAAGGTTCGTATCGTATTAGTTTACTAAGTGGGATTTGAATTCATGGTTTTGATAGTAATTTTTTTTTGGTTCGTATCGTATTAGTTTACATTCGTATCGTATTAGTTTACTCTCATATATGAGAGTTTGTTGCAGGATATACATCTATTTTATTAAGACATTTTCAGTTTTTTTGTGGAAATGCGCGCTAGAGATATACTCTCTATGGTCAATATTTTCTTTATATATTGCCCCTCACATTTGCCTAATTTTTCTGTGCTGACTCCTGACGTAGCTTTACGTGCCGCGGAGGTTATTCCTGAGTTATTTTTAGGTTATTTCTGGGTTATTTTCAAAAATCATGAAATAACCCAGAGATAACCCGCGGTTTTTATTTTTGGGTTATTTTGAGATTATTGAAAATAACTCAGAAATAACATGAAAATAACTCAAGAATAATCTTTGCGGCACGTAGAGCTACATCAAGAGTTTAGACAGAAAATGCGCTCCTCATATTTTTAGTAATGAATATCAAGCGAAAAAACTTGATATGTAAGTGAAATTTAAACTAAAAAAGTTATATTTATTTACATTTCTAACATATAATTTTCTTTCTTATATTTATGCCAACAATGTATTTCATATTACATGAAAGATGTTCCTATTTAATTTATAAAAAGTGATACTTTTTTTTTTAGCATCGGTAATGTGACATATGTAAAAATTGAAGTTTACGTGTAAAGGGGTGTGTAAAGTTTCTAAAAAGTTAATATCTTCCTAAATGTGAGAAATTTGTAAATATATCAGATTTATAGGTATATATATGTAACCTCTTGGGATCTAGACCTAACGTGAGAGGGGCTGCGTAACGATTGACAAAATTATATATTTTAGCAGGGGCAAAAGCTCAAATTGTCCTGATTAAGTTGGCATTATATGCTCTTTCTATATATATTTAAAAATAGCATGAATAAAGTTAAAATATTTTCTTTTATGAATACGACAAACATCATTATATGGATGAGTGGATTGTCTCCATTAAGGCCAATCATTGATCATCCACAACAGGAAATGTTTAGACGGTTTGCCACCCACGTGGTTGTACATTTATTGTAACTTCGCCAAAGGCCACGGGCTATATAAGGCCACGAAATGATCATACTGACATGTGTGGGTCATGCGGAGCAACCAGTGCTCATAAGCATAGTAAAGGACGAAAGCCATTCAGACATGTATAGCTGTTCTTTTAGAATAATAGCGAAGTCAGAACACTCATATAGGGAGAGAATTTGAGGAAGGTAAGTTGGAGAGTTGCTGGACAGTTAAGAGTTGATGAGCAACTACGGGATACAAGAAAAGTTAGATGGGCATTATAGGCTGAGCTTTGAGATTGTGTATGATGTGTGAGGTATTTTCTTGTTAGATAATGAGAGAGTTTGAGATTTATTTATAGAGTTTAAAAAGAATGTTTTTAGTTTTTATATGATAAATTATAATATTTCATTTGTTAATGATGTGTGATTGGAAAATTTTTATCATCAGACACAACTCTCAATACGTTTTGAGCAAAAAATATAAGAAATTTAAATCATGGGTTCGCCAAGTTGTAATTTTAATAAGTTTACAATTAAATTAAGTATCTTCATAATGCAGATCCAATGACATTGAAAGTGACTCCATCTGAGTGAAAAAGAGCCTTAATCAAACATTTGAAGAGTTATAAAAATTTTTGGTGTATCCAGTGGAAGGCTAAATAATCTCTAAACTTGGCATACTTATAGTCAACTCCAGCGCCTCAATGAGAGGAATCAAACGAGCTCAAGAACATTCAATTTCTTAAGTTGTTAAGGTATTTTATTATTGAAAAAAATTACTTGTGATCAATGAAATTCGTGTAAAACATCAGATGGAGTGTTTTGAGATTCTAGTTATATTTACCTAAATACCCCACTCAAACATTATAAATAGGCCCCTATCCTTCACTTGATGGGATAATAAGAAGAGAGTATATTGACTAATAAAGCTTAACCCTTGAAGACTTGTTGGTTATCATTGATTATCTTTGTTTGTGACTAACTAGCAAAGTTTGTCGTTGACTATTAGAGGTCATCGAAGAATAGAGGTCACCATTGACAACCAGAGGCCGTCAAACACGAGCCATCGTTAACCGCCATCATCATATTCAAGCCAACTATGACATTTATAGTCAATTACAACTGTTATAGCCTCCAATTATGACTTTTATAGCCTTAATATGATTGTTATAGCCTCAAACTATGTTATTTGCAGCCAAATACTACATCAACGATTGTCCATTTTTGTAATCCCGTCCTCCATAATTTAGGAGCAGCTCTCTATAAGTTTAGCTTTGTAGTGGGTTGTTTTGATTGTGATAGGCCCTGTGATTTTTTCCTTTTCCAAGGGATTTTCAAGTAAAAAATTGGTTCTCTTACATCTTTATTTGTGTGTGCTGGAAAATTATATTGGGATAAAACATAGGATTTCTTGGACTTCTTGAATTTTCTAGCATGCAACACTTATAATGCATGCCTCTAGAAAGAATGGTCAATCAAACCATTGGGCAAGATTGATATTGGTGTTAATGTTTTTTCATTAGCAAATAAAATATATCACGCTAAAACACTCGTTGTTATGAACCTAACAATTGATAAATCATGTTTTTAACTTTCAAACTATCTAAATATTTTGTAGAAGATATATTGATTAAAATTGTGATAAATAAAGTCCAATTATAATATGTCATAATCTTAAATTCAAAAACTTTCTTTCTAATAGCATTCTAATGTCACAAGTGTTATGTGAGTTGGAGCCTCGCGGAATAAAACAGTTATGGAAAGTGTATAAAGGTCAAACTTAGATTTCTAGAAAGTAATAATGATTGACTACCAATTTTTATTTTTGTTATCTATTTTTTAGATCAAAACTTAACATTTTAGATCACTCATGAAATCAAGGCCAATTAAGACAGTAAGATTATAGGATTTTTAAAACAAAGTAAACAAACTATAAAAGTCTAAGAGGTTGTTTGTTAAGCTATAAAAGGAGTGCACAACATTCCTTCTGTGTTTTGGAAATCGAGGCATTTGGTCAGAACAATTTCAAATGCAATGTAAAATTTCAGCTCATTTGAAATTCATTCATAGTTAATTTTTTAATGTATATAGATATCACTAGATTTGGGCGAGTTCCAAATACACAACTTTTTTGAAAGTATTGTCGCAGCCCACTCATTGGCACCACTACCGCTAGCCTCGTACTCCGCCATCCATCGCCCTTGCTTGTCGTCCACCACCTCCATCTTGCCACCATCATCAGCTTGACATCATTACCGCCCACCCATTCACTATAGCAACCCATTGCCAACTGCTCGCAATCACTCGTGATAACCAACTTACTTTCTAATAGCATTCTAATGCCACAAGTGTTATGTGAGTTGGCGCCTCGCGGAATAAAACAGTTATGGAAAGTGTATAAAGGTCAAACTTAGATTTCTAGAAAGTAATAATGATTGACTACCAATTTTTATTTTTGTTATCTATTTTTTAGATCAAAACTTAACATTTTAGATCACTCATGAAATCAAGGCCAATTAAGACAGTAAGATTATAGGATTTTTAAAACAAAGTAAACAAACTATAAAAGTCTAAGAGGTTGTTTGTTAAGCTATAAAAGGAGTGCACAACATTCCTTCTGTGTTTTGGAAATCGAGGCATTTGGTCAGAACAATTTCAAATGCAATGTAAAATTTCAGCTCATTTGAAATTCATTCATAGTTAATTTTTTAATGTATATAGATATCACTAGATTTGGGCGAGTTCCAAATACACAACTTTTTTGAAAGTATTGTCGCAGCCCACTCATTGGCACCACTACCGCTAGCCTCGTACTCCGCCATCCATCGCCCTTGCTTGTCGTCCACCACCTCCATCTTGCCACCATCATCAGCTTGACATCATTACCGCCCACCCATTCACTATAGCAACCCATTGCCAACTGCTCGCAATCACTCGTGATAACCCATTTCCAATCAGCTTCTGCCCATTGGCAATTTTCTCTTGGCTCTACCATCATTTATCGCCAGGCCACCAACCGACTCCACAAATAACCAACTGTCTGCCTTTGACTACCATCTGCCTTCCCTTGGACACCTCCAACCTTTGCAACTTGCTCGACAAGCACCAACCATCTACCAACTTACCCATTATCAATATTGTATTTTACATTTCTTTCATTTTACTTAAATCTAAACTAGAAAATATGAAATCTTGTATTTATTTTCATTGACTCAAACAACTCCAAAGTATTCTAAATACAATATATTACTTTTACACTGCATTAGTTTTCTAGCAAGCCAAATATCCCCTAAATGATAAGAAGACATAATTGCATTACAAGTAGGAGTAG